ATATGACAGCATTGACAGGTGACCGATGAAACGCAGCGCACATGAATAAAATGATGTTATAAATTATAGCTTTAAGTGAGTGCTGCTTGTCTATAAATCTCTTGGCGGTTTAGGACCAAAATACATCTCCTAGGTAGGTTATTTTTGGTATGGGTCTTTCAACTGTTCCATGTCCAAACTAACAAACTAAAAATAAAACATTTATATGCTCTTTAACTGAACCATAAACACACACAATTTTGTGAATTGGCACACATCTCAGTGTATGCATGACCTATTGTGTCTACTGTATATGTCTGTTTTTATCTTCAATTATTTAAAAATTGTTTCTTTTAATAACCACTCTGTTGTTGTTTGTTGTTATATTTTAATTCATTACATGAAGCACTTTGTTTGTATAATGTTCAGTACACATAAACTTTAGCAAGAGGCCACACACACATTCATGGCTGCATTTTTACATATTTCACTCAAGCGATTTAAAACAGTTCAGTGTACATGCAAATTAAACAGGCACAGACTCAGCAGCGAGGCAAATGAAAATGTGTTTCTCTGGTAAAGCATTGCTAGTACCATCATTCCTGCCAATTTGAACTTAATTAACATAACTAATGTTGTGGAGACATGATTACGTATGTACGTCCACTGTTCCTGAGCCAACATTAAGGTTGTTGCCACCAAGAACAGTTCAAAGATTTGTTGTTTTATGTCTGTGATTTACACTTCATAAGTACTTTGTGAAGATATTTCATTTTATTATTTCTGAAGACCACACACATTTAGCAAAATATATATTCCAGCGCGTACCAGGACACTGGGACTGACGCGGTTTTATTAGATTCAAAGCAAAACAAAACCACCTATTATTTAAAAGCTCGGATCCGGACCTACGTAGAACCGAGAAATGTCTGACCTAAACCCAAACCAGACACCCTATCTGCACCTATTTCAGAGCTGATTGCTATTAATAATACTATGAGTAATACTGTGATTACTGTACACTATATACCTCACATATTTGTCATCAAGCCCACCACATTAGCCACACCCTAAGCCCAGCTGCACTCAATACATATGTTTGCATGCATGTCTTGAAGGTTGGCCAGGTCAGCTTTTGTTTTCTTAGTATTGTTATTATGAGTTTAATTGAATGTTGCCCCATTCATAGTGACATACTGGTGGGTACAGATGTGTTGGAGGTGTGACTTCTTCCATGACAAAGGAGCCAAATCTATCTTCAAGAGGGAACCCCTTCATCCACAGATTCTAGCTTCAATTACACTGTTTCACCCATTCAGTCCAGTGTGTAGGATTTAGTGGCATCTAGCAGCAGATTTCAACCCCCTCGCTTCACCCTCCCAAAATGCAAACACCCCTACCAACAGCCAATGTTTGGTTCTTCCGTTCTGGGCATTGACATGTGTAAAGATGGATGACCTGACAGCTCTCCAAAAGTGAAGCCAAAGCATGTCGATTGCCCCCTGGTGGAGAAGCATGGCGGTTCAACACAGCAGCCTCCATCGAAGGTGACCCGCGGCATCTGTAGATATTTAAGACTGATTTTACACTAATGAAATCATACCTGACATAGATCCTCCTAAATGTTACAAACTGGACCTTAAATTGAGTGCTTTTTAAATTATTTTCAAATGAATAGATCCATGTAATATTAGCCTTGTAATAGAACGCTGCTACTTCCCAGCAGCGTTCTTTCTTTATTTTTTCAGGTTGGTGAAGTCATGACCCGCCCTACTCTGATTGGCTTACTCTGATATTCTTACTCTAAAATGTCAGCAATCTGACTGTCAAACTAGATGATAAAAGTTTTCATATTAGGAAGGAAAATTTGTATCAGAACATCTTTCACAGACCTCTCAAATTCTCTTGTATTGAGTGAAAAAAGCTGTTGAAAATGTTGCTTGGCTAGCATGCCTAAAACTGAAATACCGTAATGGGCCTTAAAACTGCAAAAACATTTAAGCATGTTGTACTTATTACAAGCACTGAAAACTTAATTTGTATCTTAATCGAATATTAATAATAAGCAAAATGTCGTGCTGTATGTCGTGCATGTATAGCACATCTGACAATAAAGTTGACTTGACTTGACTTGACAAAAGAAAAAAAAGGCTTTAGGTAACTTTGTCTTAAATGAAGGCACCAGAAGCCCTTATTTTTAGCATTTTTTTACTAAAACAATAAAAAACTAAACAGCTGCTGCTTCATTTACAACACATTGGGACAAGACTCCTCTCTCTTAAACTGAGAAGTTGCTCAGGTGGTCTTACTCTTAAAATAAGGGGAAAAAAAGCTTTTCCTTTTTAGACAAAAAATAAGACAAATTTCCCAGAAACAAGGCTTTTTTGCTTTCTTGAGATTTTCATTATTTTGCAGTGGTACGATAGAAGATAGATAGATAGATAGATAGTAGATAATAGATTAGATAGATAGATAGATAGATAGATAGATAGATGACCTTAAAACCAAGCTCAGTCATATTTCACCACACACACATGCACGCACACTCTCGAACACAGATGGGATTTCATGCTGCTCAGGGTTTTGCATTTTTTGCCCGGGCAGAAATGGAAGCATCATCACTCATGTCAATCAGCACCTGTCACTCTGTGATTTGGACACACACACAGGCCAGCTTACAGGCAGATGCAGCCAAGCCACTTATTTACATAACAAAATAATATCAGTCATTATTTGTATGACCCTATTTGTATAGCAAAGATCAAAGCATTTGCAGTTAGAAAGTCAAGATAAAAAGTAGAACCAAGACATGCTGTATAGTGACTCAGTGGTTAACATATGGGTTTAAACCCTAGTAGGCCCACGTCTCTCTATTTGGAATTTGCATGCTGTGCCTATGTTTGTGTGGGTTTTCTCCACGTCTCTTACCATAAAGACACGTATGTTTAACATTGGTTTACTCCTGTCATTGCCTTTGACAAATGTACTGACCTGTGGTTTCCCTCTGCTCTAAAGAGGATCAGTAAAGTACACCTTAACTGAACATTACCATGGGTACTGCTGAAACCCTATCTCATTTAAGTAAGTAAGTAAAACTGCCAGGTTGTGGTTTTGGCGGGAGGTACACGCTATGACTAATTCTTGATGAACGATAGCCGGGCACACTTCTCTTACTGTTCCATTACACAATCTATTACTGTTTGTACACAGATTGAAAAATTAGATATAACATGTTCATTGATGAGCTTTAGAAGTGTTTCATCCATGCTAGCACCCTGGCTCTGGAGATGACAATGTCTGTCGGTCCCCCATTGGTCCAGACTGAAATGGCTCAATAACTACAGTTATCCATCGTCCCCAGAGGCTTATACCCACAGACTTTGATCATATCCAGGGTTTTCCTCTACTGCCAATACCATGTCGACATTTGTGGTTCAGACTGAATATCAGTTTGACATACAATTAGCTTCAGAAGGTTCGTAGAGCAGTGGTTCCCAACCTTTTTCCTTAAGGGAGCCCTTTTCTATCACTGAGTAAACTGACTAAGTGACATATTTTATGTTTATTTCATATTTTATTCAATGCTTAACAATAACAGTACAATGAACCCAAACACAATAACTGCAGGAAGTTTGTGTAAAAGGAGAAATTTGGTTGAATTCTGAGCAGAATATTTCCTGTGAATATTGGTTAGAGATGCGTTTTCTTAAAATGTTTAGGAACTCTTTATATAATTCTCTGTCTGTATTATTTGTTATTATTCGTTATCAATGTTTTCTTTCATTGGTTGTTTGAACTTTTTTAATGCAGAATGAGGCTGTTTATATTCACAGAGCCTTCACTCCCTGATAGTCAGGGTTGAAACTTCTTCAAAGTTTCGATCTTAAATAATAATTTAAAGTTAAATAACAGTTTAGATTTCTTCACAGAAATGTATTAAAATCAAGAAGGCCCCACGACCCCCCATGACACTTTGGTGACCCCTAATAGGAATCCCAACCCCCAGGTTGGGAACCACTGTCCTAGAAGATAAAATAAAACAACTTCAACAAACTCAACAACCACTCGATGGACTGTCGTAAAATTTGACATTAACAGACATTCATGGTCCCCAGAGAAAGAACTTTGATCCCCTGAGCTTTCAGTTTGCAGTCAACATGTCAGTTTATCCAATACTTTGGTTTATGACCAGATACATGCAAAAGTAATTACATTCCCATAAGCCTCAGCTGTACTTAATCTACTTAATTGTACATTAGTAAATGTTAGAATGCTAACATTCTAAAACAGGGGTCTCAAACTCAAAAGCAAGTGCAATGATCAGAAACTAACACATGTACGGAGTTATTAAAGCGTTTTAGTGATGTTTGCAACTGCAAACCAAGCAGGGAGGCAGTGAGGAAAGTTATAGTTGAAAAACTGGGTTTTGTAAACCCATCAAAAACACAACAACTATCCTCAATATAACAGCTAAACAACTGAACAAACTGACCTGATACAATGACACCTAAGGGAACGTATAACAATAAGCATAACAAAACTGTGATGTTAATTGTTCGGGTGTGGTTGACTGCAAAATAAATTAACCACTGCTTTAAAAATAGTCTGGGGGTCCTCACTCCAGACAAATGTGACTTTCAGAGACTTTGTTTTCTGCATTTTGGTGACTTCAGGTGAAG